CTGACCTCTGTATTACATACCAACAATAACACCCAGATTAAAACTTTTGATAACGAAATAAGTACATGTATTCACATATTATTAAACATTATTATATATAATAATATATTTAATATATCAATCACCTATCTAAACCAATAAGCATAACGGGATCAGATCATAATCTTATTTATCTTAAAAAATAAATCTTATAAATTTGGAATTCTAAAGATTTGCCATATTCTAACATAAAAGTAAAAAACTTTTTTTTTTTCATTTTGATAACAAAATGTCTTAAAGATGCAACATTAATTAAATATTCATGTTCCAACTTAAAAAAATACAGCAATGTAGTTACCTTTTTGTTCAAAAACTTGTCTATGAATTGAGTTTGTCCATGTGACTGATTTTCTATTTCCGGATTTGAAAGATTATATGGTAACTCTGAAGGCAAGTGAATGTCAAGATATCTATATGTTTCATCTGTTACCATGTATCGTTCCACGGATTTGTTGTATTTTGAAATAGTCCATCACTAACAAGATGCAATCCTAAACGTATAACAGTAACGTTTAACATCAAAAGCAGTAAACAAAAAAGTAGTAAACACAGACTAAGGCTTTTTGATATTATTTTCATTTTTTTTAAATCGTTCTTGTGACTGTAAACTACACTTTCCTCTATCGAAACAGATTATACGATATGAAACGAAACGAATCATGTGTTTCGTTTATATATGTTTAACAAACAGAATACAGAAACATGAAGTTATACACATATGTAAAGACTATCTAGCGTGTAACGGAAACAGCTTTTTTTTAAAAGCTGACACATATTTACTATGAAATTATTGAAATGAATAAATATAAAATTTCAGGCGTTGATTGTCCGTGTATCTAAATATTCACTTAAATGTAAGTGTTATGTTGATAAGTCGTTCTTCGGTGTCTGAGTGTGTAACCTGTTTCGCCTTCGTACAATTCCCTTGAATACCAAAACTTAATAAACATTTTTAAAAGTGCAGTCCATATGTTTTTTATTCGCAATATTTTAGATTTAAGCTTTAAAAAATAATCATTTAAGTGGACAAACCTCTGTATATTGAATTGTCTAATATTTTTGTTTTCTTAAAATTTTAAACTTATTAAAATGCGTTGTGAATCTGGTGCATGTCTTTTGCCAACTTCAAAAGATGATGTTGAAACACGTAACCTAGTTGAAAAGTATACACATTTTACAATTATTATATTGTTCCAAATATAAAACGAAAATGGTGTTGATGGGTCTCAAAATTACACCGACATCAGAAAAGAAATAATCCTAGTGAACTTCATTATGATATTCCTATTTTTTTCGTAGAATTGCTTTAATAATATGATGACACTTACGATGATTATTTGGCAAGGAATAAAAAAATATTTTAAACCGCCTAGTAGTCGTTATTAAAACTTAGATACGTATATATGAACAACAATTAATTTGATTTCGAGTGTTTTAGTTGATTATTTAAAACATTAAAAATAACATAAAGTTAAGCCAAAGTTAGATAGAAAGATATATAGTGAATAGATAGATAGATAGATAGATAGATAGATAGATAGATAGATAGATAGAGAGAGAGAGAGAGAGAGAGAGAGAGAGAGAGAGAGAGAGAGAGAGAGAGAGAGAGAGAGAGAGAGAGAGAGAGAGAGAGAGAGAGAGAGATTAGAGAGAGAGAGAGAGGGAGAGAGAGAGAGAGAGTGAGAAACGATTACAATTTTCAGTTCATCAGTTTAAATCACTCTAGAAAAGATTCCTTGATGACTGTTTAATTACATTTCTTTTAAACAAAAAAATGAGCTTAAAACACTTTAAAAATTTAAATTTAAAAGCCTTGAACGAATATTTTAAGAATTTACCATTTATGTAAAAAAAGTAATAGGGTTTCCATTGTTGACCCGCATGGTTATAAAAAAGCAAATTTCTATTGAAAAAAGATATATAATTTACAAACCAACAGACAGTAAAACGTACAAACCTATTGAAACCATGCCCTCCAAAAATAAAGTATACCCAAAATTTTCTAGCAAGACGTCAAATTTAAAATGAAAAAAAAATATAAAAAAACTTTTTCCAGGCTGACCCAAAATTGGAAAAGTGTGGAAAAAAAGAAAAACAAACCCGGGAAAACTTTTTTGGGGGAAAATGAGACGTGGCATAGATATTTTAAAGAAAGCAAGTCAAGGAGAAATGTATTCGACGATAACACAATAATCAAAAGCAAACATCAACCACCTAATAAAAAAACTTACAACTAGAGCAAAATTTGAAGAAAACAAAACGATATAAAAAGTTGCCTGTTGTAACGGACCGAACTGTGTTTTATGCAGCTACCTTATGGAAAGAGATTGTTATACATTTAAATGTGAAAAAAAAATATAACACTAGATGTGATGCCAAGAATGTAATTTATGTCATTATTTGCAGTGGGTGCAACTAATAACACATTGCATGACAGTTCATAGACAACAAACTCACAGATTCGAAAGATGAGTGACCACATCGAAAACTGCGCTAGAGAAGAACACAACGTGTTAATTGTTTCCGTCTTATAAAATGCAAACTGACAGTATTATATCAAGAAAACAAAAAGAAAAAAAATGTTACACAAATGTTTCAATATTTTATTTCCCGTAGTGTGGGACAGTTATCCGCACATTTATTTAAGTTATCTTTATGTTAGCTTTAGGTCTAAATGTTCATAGAGTAATTTGATCATGTGCACCTGATCCTTTGTATCGTGATGATTAATTACAACATTAAGAACATGGTCACGGTAACATGTTTCAGTGACACTACCCAATAGTGCATACATAACTATTTTAAAGCCACGTTTCATCCCTATGACAATTTCTCTCAGGCGGGTAGAGTCTCGATCTTTAAACCTAGTAAATATGACCGAAACTTTTCCAACCCGCTACCTTGTCTTAACAAAATTAGCAATTCAGATATTCAATGGAGGTACACTTTCTTTAACTTTAACTTTTCCTTCAAGATGGGAAACAAATATGTCGCACTAAAGTCCGATGTGTCACTTCACGGTATATCTTGCACCTTCGAAAATCAAATCTAGATCCGTTTTTATTTTTGACACACAATTACCCCATAACCCACACATTTTGAAATAATTATTTTGCTCCTCTCTGAAATCACATTGCAACCAGTATTTAAATTGCCTGCTCAAATTGTATTGCAAATCGTGCGATTGAGACTGTTGGTTAGAAAAATCAATAATGCATCCAACAGTATTTTATAATATTGTATACACGCGCTTTTAAATCATTAATTGAGTTGTTGGCACTAATTAAAACATGTCCCTCGTATAGCTCGAAACAAAAATAATTCCGGATATACCCTATATACATTAAAACTACGATTCCGTATTTTCTCTGTATTTGAAGAAAATACCACTCCTTAAATCACATGTATATGTGAAAAATAATTATGTATACCCTCTGTAAGTAGACAATGCAATTCTGTATATCATTTTTACATGTAGAAAATACAATTCAGTATATCATCTGTATATGTAGAAAATAAAAACATAAATATATCCTGTATCTCTCAAAAATACTGATGTATATCAACTTTATATCTATAGTATACTAAGGAAAGCTGCTTTTGATAAGACCGTATACGATACTTTAGTCTTCGTATACTACAAAAGTACACACAAAATACACATGCATGTACATGGAACACATATGGAATGTCGTATTTTTATACGGATTTCCTGTATACACGGTTTCACCTATATATACTTGTATACTTGGTCCGTTTATACGACAAAAATACGGCACATACATTTCGTATAGTACATTATTTAAAATGGAAACAATTAGTCAATACAGAAAGTTCTGACACTGGAAATTATATTATCATTGTTTCTGGACATGAAACAAGAGGTTTTATTGTGAAACTGTATACAGTGTACACATCACCTAACATAAAAATACAACAAACATATGTGAAATTGGCCTATAGTATATTTATTTTGGCACACGCGCACACACACACACACACACACACACACACACACGCACACACACACACACGTGTGTGGGTGCTCACATATAAAAAACAAGATAAATTGGTAGATTAATGTTATAATGCTTAAAGCTTCTTTAGTTACAAAGAACAGGTCAGGAGCAACAATTTCCTTTCTTATTACCGTCAGATATCACTACCCTTGTTCTTTTATAGACGTGCTCTTTATATTAATTGTTTTTAACACGGTGATTAATAAGTACCCTACCCTCAGCACCTTCCATACATAAAATAATCTGCTAATAATCGCCTGCAATAATGATATTATAAAAGTCATGCATTTGAAACTTTTTGCTGCAAGACAGTCATTCTTCTCAGGATAAAATTAAAATAAATTTTGTGTTCATTCAATATGATTAATACAACCGTGAATGATGAGACCATTATATTTATTGGGCTGAACTACATATGTCATTTTTTATTACCCCTCCTACGTTTAGATTTTAAACCACATGGTCCGTTATAAAGATTGTGTATGTAGTATTTACAGTCTAACGACTTTGCATTTTTTGAGCCATCTTAATATCGTATTTTCATGAGTTCAAAAGCAAGTCTACAAATCTGGAAATAGAAATACATAGCAATACTAAGTTCTCTTAAGCCAACATATTCCTTTAAAATATAAACATGGGAATGTTTATTTGTAAGAAAAACACATATTATTATACTTGTAAACATTAACTTAACAATATATTAAATATAAAATACAAAGCAAATGCAATGCACTTGTATATTAGGAAAAAAGCAAACACTTGAACACATTTGCAATGAAAGAACACTCTTCATTTTATACCGATGTTTGCACAATAATAAGTTAGTGTTACCAAAGTAAGATTTTTAATCTTTTTTTTTTTTTTTTTTTTTTTTTTAGGGGGGGGGGGTTACGTCACATCGACACAGTATAGGTCATATCGCGACGTTTCCAGCTTTACTGGTGGAGGAAGACCTCAGGTGCCCTTCCGTGCATTATTTCAGGCACGAACGGGCACCTAAGTAGAACACCGACGTTCCGTAAGCTAGCTGGATAGCTTCCTCACATGAAAGAATCCAAAGTCCCTGTTCCATTCGAACCCACAGCGGTGAGGGGCAAGTGGTTTGAAGTCAACGACCTTAACAACTCGGCCACGGACGCCCCTAAGAATTTTAATCAATAAATGGTCATAGTAACATATAAGACGAAATGGTGTGCTGATCCTGTCTTCCTTTTATATAGTTTCTTTTTATAATCTAAACAAATAATTTCACATAAAATTGAATAGATTGTTGTGTATGTAGTGCTAATATGTTAAAAATAAAAAGGTAAAAAATTATAAAAATGACTTACGTTAGATGACATGGTACAGACAAGGTAATCGCACATTGATAATAGAAATATGTCACTGATGATATCTTTCAGAGATGAAAATTGCAACCGCAATGTACGACTATTTGCAGCTAGAGTTGCATTCATATCATGTATAAATGTGTAGTTAGGAAATCTGAAATAAGTGTTAATAAATAAAACACTTTTTTACTTTCTATCTTTTTTTTTAATGAAACAATCGTTATTGTTATTGTTATGCGTTTGCCCTTTTTCGCTTTTTTGTATTAATCAATTTGTGCTTGGTTTTATTTCCTTTTTGGCCTTTGCTTGTTGTTTTGTAACATAACCTCCGTTTATATTCGAGCTATAAACCAATATTTATTCCGAACACAAAACGGTGATGTTACATAATGTACACAAACTATGATATATCGTATTGTTATTGTTTTCTTTTTCTTATTTCTATGGACCTTTCCGGTGTTTCGTAGCGGAACATTTAGCCACACCTTTTCCATTAATTGCTAGGTCAACTGCTCACAAACAGTATCACAAACATAAGCACGTGTTTTTTTGTGCAAACCAGGTCAACCAGTGACTATGTATTATCTCAATGTAGCGATTGGATAACAAGTTAGCCAATTTACATTAAACTGTAAACACCGGAAAGGTCCATTAATTTTTCTTCATGTGAAAGATTGAACCAGCCGGAGAGGCGGTGTCCTTTTTTTAAATGTATGACTAATTTTTCCTAAACAAATATGGCAAATACTTATATACCTGTTATGAGCTCTGCCTGATATGTCCGACGATTCTCACGGACCGTGCATTAAGCCATAGTCTTGTAAAAAATAATGTGGCAAGAGGACACTGACAATATATTATTGGATTAAAATGTATGTGGGAAGTCAAATAACAAATTTAATAATGCATGATGAAAGGGTTTATGGATTTGATTAAATCATTTATTTTTGACGTGTAGCTTATGAAATTACTTGTGCTGACATAAATGTTTATGCAGGAAAGAAGAACCTTTACGAACGGTATATGATTTAAGACACTTATGTTTAATAAGGTGTGATCCACATGTATCTGATCGAATTGCTCAATCTGACACCAATAAAGTTTAAATGTGTAGAAAAACAACATAAGTGTGACCAGGAAAAAGAGAAACTAATTAACGAAAAGGCACAATAATTTACACCAAAAAGTGCTCGTGGGAAATGTTAAATGCAGAAAGGGAAGCCCATACCCTACAAAAAAACAAGCAAATTGAAGAAGAAAATGAAAAGCTAAGAATACAAATACATTATCAATGTTGAAAGTGAAACAATGAAAGTGAAAAAGAGCAAACTTTCTGCAAAATGTTGGCAGGTCAAAAGAAGTTGCTCGAAAATGTTGTTATAAGTCAAAGCATTTAATAAAATATAGACCGACCTTTAACGAAAACAAGGCAAGTTGTATCAAATGAACAAACAAAAAAGCCATTTAACATTTAACATTCAAATGTGACAAAAGGAAATGCTATCACATAAACTTTCTAGATGAGGAAAAATAGTGGCAGTATGTACTTAAATTAAAACAGAGAGAAACAGGATCCCTAAATAAAGTCCAAAACGACAAAATTGAAAGTGTTGCAGGCTCGGGTTGATTGAGCCTGTTCACGGACGGTACTGAAAAGTGCAAGTTACCATATGTAAGTATAATCTACAGAGAGTTCACCAACAACATTGAATGAAAATAAGCAGCAAATGAAAGCAAATGTTAATCCAACTTAGAAAATGATTTCCAAAAGAACAAAGGAATTTGGACTACAAACAGAAGAAACAAGTTTTACTTGTGGGAACATCAAGTATATAAAAAGTGTTAAAGTACACAGTTGCACAAGCCAACGACTTTATCCAAAACATGATAACAAAATCAAGTACGATCTTTTAATACACCAAACTCTGTGTAACAAGCTTTACAAACAGGAAGATGTTTTCATAGATGAACTAGACCAAGTGGTGAAAACATTTCCTAATACAAATGTATTACTCTCCTACGATCTACATAGAGGTGAACGTAAATAAACTTAACAAACGTATTACCTCGCATGTTGCTGGAAAGACAGGGCAACTATCAACACCAACAGTAACCAGTTTCCTCTTCAAGGAGTTCTACATTAGCCAGTAAACATTTAAATGTACCTTATATTACTCAAATATTAATCAATGCTGTGAATTCATGTGGCACACATTATATTCACAGCAATGATAAAATTAATGATAACTCTATGGTTAAGATGTATTTTTGTTACTACCATTTGTTGAGATAAAGTGTAAATCTATTACGATCATGTTTTCTTATCTAAACGTAGTGAGTTGAATTATTCATTATCTTAAAAATATGAATCATAAGAAACTAAATGATCCAATAGTTCATAATGAAATTTCAAAGCATGATATGTTTTCGTCTACAAGAGACTAAACTGATTAAAGATGAAGTTGCATCTGTTACGAAAGCGTTGTAAATGTTGTTAAAAGAATACAACGTATCTGATGGTATGCTTATACTTTTAAAACCACCTACAGCTCAAGGTTGCTTTTCTGAACATAGCTACATTTAGTTAATACTTTCCAAGGATTGTTTTTACTTGTGATAGAGATATTTACCTCTATTTTATATGCTGCACCTAATAGTTTATCTTTTGTTAAGAAGCATACTTTAGACTTTGTGAAACAGTTTAGATATTATGTAAAAACTTATAAACACAAGGGTGATGTCAGAATATGGTTTGGAGATGAGTTTGTTGACACTACTTGTAACTCAAAATATTTACTAATGCCAGATGAAGACGGAATTACCTATGTTCTTATAAATAAACGCAACATTCAAGATTATGTGTATTGATCTAGGGTCTAAAACCTGTTAGGTTGTTGTATTTCATCAAATCTACACATTTTAAATGACAAACTTGTGGAGAATATGTTGGTAGATATACATCATATCAATACAACGTGATAGTATGGTATTGTATCTGAACAAGCTATATTCTAATGCTGCTGAACATATCGTCATGCAAATATACAGAATAGTATGCAAACGAATATATTTTTTTCACATCAGTAGATCAAATAAAAGACTGTTCAGTCCTTGTTGTTATTTATAGAAGTCAGAAACCGTACCAGTTTTTTAAGAAGCATGTGCTTCTTATGATGTAAAAAAATGCAGATTTTATATGCATTGATATATAATCAAATATAAGTACAAATATTGATTTTATTGTTCAGAGTTAAAAGTTTATTTTAGATGTTGCATGTAGTAAGTCTTTAAGAGCGAAAAAAGGTTTTACAAAACTTAAGCTAATCACACAAACCACAAGAACTGTAAGAGAAAATAATTGATTCGTAGGAGTAATAAGTATGCAAATAATTCAATGACATAAGAAGAAATATATTATACACAGTGTATATTTTTTCAGCCAAAGGCACGCACTAGTGATCATATGTATGTTCTGATATGTTGTTGCAAAATTTAAAGCTTGTTAGTTAAAGCTTTACACCTTTTCTGTAGATTTGATTTTATTTTACACTCTACGCTTATTGTCAAAATGAATAATATTGTAATAAGTGGACCTTTTTAACTGTCTTGAGATATATGTACAAGGCAATTTATATTTATGTCAAAGTAAAATCTGAAAAAAAGAGATGTATTCAACATCAAGTCATTATTATAATTCAAATAACTAATCCATAAAACTAGAACAAATAACAATGGAAATGATATACGCAGTTATTAGTATATTGATACAATTAAACAATCTGTTGATGTAAGACAGGGATACAACTTAAGCCGTATTTTATTATAGATATTTGTTAACGATTAACAGGAACAATTTACAAAAAAAATCATGATCCGGTTAAGTTAATCATAGCGTATTAATAGTTATTGTTAATAATATGTAGACGAATTGATACTGATGTTTAAAATTGACAGTGGTTTACAATTATATAATATAAAGTGCGCCATATGCAGGCTGCAATTTTTATGCTCTTCAAATTTTGATTTATTACGCTTGAACAAGCTGCTTTTGGGTCTGGATTTTTGGCAGGGACATCTATAAACTTGTAACCAACATGTTACAGAAATTGATTTTATGATTTATATTTGGATTTATGAGTTATTTTGAATTGAAAAAGTTTGAAAATAACAAATATTGGAAAAATTGAATATACAGTATAATTATATCAATTGTGTTGGTGAACACCAAATCACCTGAAGTCATGGCTAATCCATGTACAATGACAGTGAGACAGTACAATAGAGAGCAATTATTGGATTGTAGATCTGTGCCTAGAAGCTATGTTATACCAAATGAAGAAACGTTATCTTTGTTGAAAAATTATGGTATTTTGAAATATAGAGGTAAACGAGCTGGCCAGCCAAGGATTAAACATAATGGTGGTGTTCATTTGGCAAACTTAGTTCAAATTAAACTTGATCATACATACATACAAAATGTCCATAGACAGAGAAAAATGAAACTTGCCACAGTTAATACAAGATCTATACGGAATAAATCGGCAGATCTTCTCCAGCATATCCTTGAAGAGAATATTGACTTTTGTTTAATTACGGAAACTTGGCTACAGACTGATGGTGATGATGTTGTTAGGGGTGAACTGGCTCAGGAAGGGTTCTGCTTTGATGATGTACCCAGGCCTGATCGTAGTGGTGGAGGAATAGGCCTTCTATACAGAGATAACCTGAAAGTGTCAAGCCTACCCAGCAAATCGTATCAATCATTTGAATGTGCTGAATGGCAAATATGTATCCAAACATTCATACTTAGAATCGTTGGCATTTATAGACCGCCATATTCTGCAAAACACCCGGTCACTCAAGCTACATTCATGACTGAATTCACTGAATATTTAGAACAAGTATCATCTCAATCTAGGTCCATGGTAATTCTTGGGGACTTCAATATTCATATGGACATGCAATCAGACTGCTACACCAAGCAATTCCAACAATGTTTGAAATCATATGGACTTGTTCAGCATGTGAATACTCCAACTCATTCTAGTGGGCATATTATTGACCTGATCATCACAAAAAAGGAAGACAAACTTGCTAGTGTAAACAATCTTCAGTCTAACTATTACATCTCTGATCACTGTTTTGTTAGTTGTAATATTCAACAATTCTGCCCCCCTTTGGTTACAAAAAACATCATATCACGTAACTGGAAATGTGTGTCGAAGAACTTGTTAGAAGCCGATCTTGAAGAGTTAAACAGTTTAGCAGAAAAATCATCTACCGTGAATGAACTTGTGTCTGATTTCACAAAGACTGCATCTGATATAATTTGTAAACATGCTCCATTGAAAGAAAGATCAATTACTGTTAGACCCAAACTTCCATGGTACTCTGGATATCTTAAGCAATTAAAACAGTACAAAAGATCAATAGAGAAAATATACTTAAAGGACAGGTCAGATCTCACAAAAATAGTGTACAATAATGTAAGAAACTCCTATACTGCGGCAATAGCATCAGCAAAGGATGGGTTCTATCAGAGTAGAATCGGAGAGGCTGAAGGGAATGTGAAGAAGTTATATAGCGTGACTTCAGACTTGCTTGGGCGTTCGAAGGATAACCCACTTCCACCTCATACCAGTGAGACGGCACTCGCAAACGATTTCTTGCGTTACTTTAGTGACAAAATCCTTAAACTTCGTGATGATCTGGATAACATAAACACAGAAACATCATCTTCAGTGATTGATAGTATTATGGCATCTGATGTACCATCAAGTGAAAATATCATGAACAAATTTATACCACTAAATGAAAAAGACATAATCAAACTTGTGAGTGAATCAAAAACAACAACATGTGAGTTGGACGTTATGCCAACACCAAAGCTGAAAGAAAATCTTCATTTGATTGCACCTGTTGTGACAGAAATCGTGAATCGGTCATTGTCTTCTGGTGTTTTTCCAGAGACGTGGAAGAGCGCTGTTATTAAGCCCCTTTTGAAAAAGAAAGGCCTTCCCTTAGAATTGAAAAACTATCGGCCTGTATCAAACCTGTCATTCTTGTCGAAAATTCTTGAAAAAGCTGCAATGAACCAAATTTCAAGCCACATTGAGTCCAACAATTTGTTACCATCTTACCAAAGTGCATACCGTAAATTTCACAGTGTTGAGTCTGCTATGATGAAAATGTACAGTGATCTGCTAGAAACAGCTGATAGCCGCCATGTGACAATAGTTGTAATGATTGATTTAAGCGCCGCCTTCGATACTATCGATATACCAATATTACTTGAAATCCTACAGAAAGACTTTGCCATACAGGGTATTCCATTAAAGTGGATCGAATCTTATTTAACCAACAGAGATATGAAAGTAGTCATTGAACAGTCTTCATCGGATACTGAGCCACTGAGGTTCGGGGTTCCCCAGGGTTCTTGTGCTGGACCGGTGATATTTACTCTCTATATAGCTGCCCTTAACAAAATAGTCCAGAAATATCCGGCGGATTTGTATGGATATGCAGACGATCATAAAGTGGCATTTAAAATTAGAGCTGGTGACCATCACAGCGAAGAAATCGTTCGCCAAAAATTAACTGACTGTCTTAATGATATTGTGTCATGGATGACTAGATTTAAGTTAAAAATGAACAATAGCAAAACAGAAATCATCATTTATGGTACAAGACATCAGCTGAAGAAATTGAACATTTCAAGTGTCAATGTTGGTGGGGTCGAAGTCAACTGTGTTGACAATGTGAGAGACCTTGGAGTACAGATGACCAGCACTTTAAGTTTTGACATCCATATTCAAAAGAAGTGTCAGATTGCACACATGCAGTTAAGAAATTTGAAAGCAATCAGAAAACATCTCACTCAGAAATCTGCAGAAATCCTTGTTCACGGTTTGATTCATTCACATTTAGACTTTTGCAATGGATTATTCGCTGATATTCCAGCCTATCAACTTGATAAATTACAACGTGTGCAAAATTATGCTGCTAGAATTGTCACTGGAGCTGCTTACTATCAATCCAGTGCTGAAATTCTTAAATCACTCCACTGGCTTCCAATTCGAGCAAGAATCATGTACAAAGTTATTGTGACTGTGTTTCGTGTTGCAAATGGCACCGCTCCATTGTATCTTCGTAAATTGTTCACTAAATGCCAGAGTCAGTACAGGAAAAGACTGAGATCCTCATCATCTAGCCACATTCGGTTTGATATACCATCAACAAATTCAAAACTTGCTGATAGATCCTTGGCCATTGTGGGACCTAAATGGTGGAATTCATTGCCAGACTATCTGAAGGACATTACCAATGAAAATCAGTTTAAGGCCAAACTTAAAACATACTTGTTTGGACTGTTTTTCAACTAGAGTTGTAGATTGGCTGTGCCATCGATACTGGGTTTGGGAGTGTCTTGATCAAGCATATGTGTATATAGTCTTAACAATGTACAGCGCAATCGAATATTTAATACATTTTTGCGCTATATAAATGTCTTGTATTTGTATTTGTATTTATACTTGGGTTATTTGTCTGACTATTGTACCAAAGTTGTTGAACTGTTAATCTTAAAAATACATAAGTGTAAGTATTTGGGAAAGACAAACTTATCTCATATCATAGTCTGGGGACCTTTCTGTTGAAAATGTGCCAGAGATAATCGTATACATATACATGCACAGTGTGTTAACTGGAGTGCAGGTATATGTATTGGTTCAGAGCATGCCAATTGATTGGCTCATTTTTGCTGGGGTTTACTTATTGTGACGGCAAAGAAAGGAAAAGCAGCATAAATGTCATAATTTAGATGCTCTTTCATTGGTTACTTTTTTCTGGGGTTTTATATTGTGACAACAGGGAACGTGTTTTTATGTTTGACTATGATACAAAAGAGAAAAGATCATCCAAACACTCGGCAATCTGATTTATAAATGGGGGTGTGTGGGGGGGGGGGGGCTAAGCCCCCTCGTACAAATCAGATAGCCTTGTGTTTCGATGCTCTTTCTATTACTTATAGAACTGATTCCTTACAACAGGTGACATCTTACAAATATTCAGGTATTTTGTTCAGTTGAAATCGCTCATGTATTGTTTCTTAAGAAGTCTTTATTATAGAAGTAAATCCTTTCAACAAGTGACATCTTACACATATTAAAGAAGTCTGTTCAGTTAAAAGCGCTCATTTATTGTTTGTGAAGAAGATCGATCTTTATACACGTGCAATTTGAGCTTATTATCAAGGTATTTGTTGATGTGAAAAGTAGTATAAAACACATTTTTATCATATTGTTAAACTTTACTAAATTTCGGATCAGTGCTCATAGACTATAAACAGATATCGAAATATATCTGTCAATAATAGAATTTGCAATATTACAAAATATTGAAATAGAAAAACCTTTTATGTTGAGATGTTATCTTCATTATTTTTAAATAATTCTATTAATTTCGGATATATCTTAAAAGTACCAAACTTTAAATCTCTACAAATGTCAGAACAGTTTATGATGTTTAGTGAGAATAATGAAACGATAAAATATGAAGCAAACTTTGTCCATATTTCTTATTCCGAATATCTAAAAAAATGAGCATCTGGTTGAACTTACATAGTGGGTAATTTGGTTGTATGTATTTACATAATATTATTTTCATATTAAATTTTGTCTTTTAATATGCCTTAGTTTGTTATTGTTACAAAGTCTTTTGTTAATTGTGTTTGCTAATAATAATTAAGCTTTAGTTATGTTATGTTTTCATAAGTTTTCTACATCTTGTACACTATTAATATTATGTTAAGGCCCGTGGTTTCAAATAAATTTATTCTATACTATTATATTCTATTCTATCGGTGTCACATTTTAATCGCATTAAACATCTACTTCTAGATTAATATTCTTTTTTTTTTTAGATCGGTGTTCTCTTTTTCCCCTTTTTTTACTTAGATTCGGTAAGCAAAATCAAGGCATATTAACAAATAATTCTAAAAATGAATTAAATTAGCATATTTACAATAATTTTGCCTCTGTAACAACACTCGGCTCATCAGTAACAAGGAATATTTTGCGAGTTTTAAGAGCTTCCCCAGTATTTTCCTCATAGTTATTAAACCAAGTTTCTGCAGCCATCATATAGTCTGTAACATTATATAACCTGGCTTCAAGTATTAATTTGTCTGTCCTCCGAATGTGTAACCTGTAAATTAACAAAAGATATCACTTTATTATTTATTTTAATCAATTAATCACAACTATAGAATTATAATACTAATATAGAATCACATGTATTACTTTAGTATAAAATGCAAACAAAAGTGTGTGTTATTTTTTGTTTGTTTGTTTGTTTTTTTTTTTTTTTTGTTGTTTTTTTTTCAAAACCTTTTCGAGTACTAACATATTATTTTATTAAAATAATACGTTTTTCTCCTATCCTAGAAGAATATTAAAGTTATATAAATACATAGCTTAAATTCGTGATCAGTTGGTAGAAGCAACGATTATGTTGTAGAAAATATTATGGTTGTAGCAGTTTTTGTCGAAGAAGAGGTAGATGCAATTTTAGAACTTGCATAAAGTAGCGATGGTGTAATTAGCAGTAATAGGAACACAAAAAAGAGCAATAGCAAACTTTAGTTAAAGGTGTAACAATAGTAATCTCAGTCACATAAGTTGAAGTATAAGACGCAGTTGCGGTAATAGTATAATATAAGACTCGTATAAAAAATTGTGGCAAAGCAGCCGCAGTCGCATTTAAAATTTCAGTAATAGGAATAGCAAGTGCAGTCACAATAGTAGTAAAAAATGTAGCAGTTAAAATGATAAATTTCAGAACAGCAATATCGACTGCAGTTGCATAATTAGAAGTAGTAAAACAGTCGCAAAGAAGCAGCCACTGTAGTTAAAGGATTATTTATAGTCGAGTGTTAGTGGTGCATTGATATACCCAACAATCACGTTCTTGAATCCATATGACACTTTTTTTTAGTGATGAGGTTCTGGAGACGTATTGTAGGTCTTAAGATGAAAGCAGCCATTTGACCGGCCCACCAAAGCTGTGGGTTTCTGTGAAAACGTATGACACTTTTTCTGTTGCTTTCAGGAATTGACCTGTGAAGCTCGACATACATTGGTCCGAAATCAATGCGTATTACTGGAATATCTTCAGTGTTGAAAAGAGCTATATGTAAAAGAACAATATTATTACAATTATAAAGTTATTACTTATAATTAAATTGAAGACATGTTTACTCAATTATATCATCTGCTTATGTATGTCTGTCTGTCTGTCTGTCTGTTTGACTGCCTGTCTGTCTGTCTGTCTGTCTGTCTGTCTGTATGTATGTATGTATGTACAGGTGACTGTCAAATTCACACGAACAATTGGCACGCTGCAGCCAGGACTCGAATCACTTGTCTCTGGATTGCCACAATATATTAAATGGGTATTAATAAGAGAAAAAAACTCTGATTGTGACTGTGTCAGTAAACCGTTGTAAAAGTTAAAATAAAGTAAAAAATAATTTAAACATATAAGGTCAATAAGCACGAAAAACAAAACAAGAAGAAAAAACGCCACAACGACCGCTGTCGTATAGTGGTTAGCATACTTGACCGGCAAACCAGAAACCCATGGTTCGAGTCCGGCTCTGTCGTGTCGATTTTTCGTGTGTTTTTTATATGTATAATTTTCCGGTCAAGACATTCCTTATTTCATGTATATATATTATAATACTAAATCAAATTTTCAAATTATAAAAGAAATATTGAAAATTATGTGATAGCTCTGGTCTTTAGTGTCAGTGTCTATTAAGATATGAGAACAAGAACAAATTCATAAATAAAATGCATTACTTGTGACTCGTTGAACTGTTTGGTTCGTCAATTGTGAGCAATTCTCGCTGAGTGGAAGAAAAAGATTTCCCCATCCTGTTCGTTCGTACCTAGATTGTCCTTCACGAAAAATAACTGTCCTCTGAGTCAAAAATCCAACTGTTAAACAGACTGTCAAGAGGTGCACTTGACTCCCGAATCCAGCTTTGATACATAGTGTTTTGTTCGAGAAGAGGAGAAGAAATAAATGAAATTGAATTTTTTTTATAAAATAAATAAAAAATGATATGTTTTTTTTTCAACAAATAACTGATTAAGTGTAGCAAAATACAATTATATTTTTAGCGATGTATAACTGACAATACTGAAACTAAAATGTATTTAATTAAAACAATGTTTACTTTTATTATCTATTTGATTTGTATGTCTTACCTGGACGGAGCTCGCACAAAACCTTTTTTGCTGACTCGCATACATATGGGTTCTGTAAAGCATGCAAACATAATTATGAAATAGAAACAAATTTACGAAGGACACATATCAATTCAACAATAACTAAACATTACTGAAAACAAAATATTATGTTTTAGTTTCTTTCTCAAAAAGGAGCTTTAATGTATTAATTTTACTTTTATGTCCAGTATTATGGAAAATGTTTAGAAAAACAGAAGTGAAAATAAGTAATATTGTTTCTCAAAACATACCTGTAACTCATACAGCTTATCTTGTACATACGCGGCAATTATCTTGACGTCGTCTTCTGTCGTATGAGTTTCATGACTATGTCCTTCATTTTCACCTGGATTATCACTGTAAGATCAGAATATGCTATTACACTTGATATACACAACACTGTACTGTTATCGCAATCAATGAAGAAAAAAACGTTTTATTTTAATCTCTTGAAATAACAAGCGTGCTGTTCATAATGTTTAAATGAGGAAAGTACCTCTGAATGTGAATGCATTTGTCCTGAAAGAAGAACAAAAAAGTATTTGGACCTCCACACCTAACTTAACTTATATAAATAAGTTGCAAAAACTTAATATGGTTCATGACGAAGATCCTTTGGCAAGTGTTGAAGAAACTATATTTATAACTGCTAATTGTGCTAGTTGATCTAGAATGCGTGTCAAAAAATAAGCGAGAAGTCAAACCACCGAAACCAATTCTTCTTTTGGTTGTTTCGGTAAAAGTGATTTTTTGAATTTATCCCAAGATAAAGGCAGTATATAATTTATTTCCATGGGAATACCTCCATGTCAGTGTCAGTTTTAGAGCTTCAAGAATAGGGCGATTTATTATATTTGGACCTACGTTCGCCTGTGCTTGAATCTATGCAACGGCTGAATACACTGTTCAATATGTTCTGTCCATGGCGATAAAATCAAACATATGTATTGAAATTGATTATTTCAAAATATTACCGACCGCATTCCAAATGCTTAGTTCACATACTATCTAAGAATGTTACCGTAATAGTAGTGCAGTTTATTGCTCCTTCTTAGAGGTTCTGCATATTCGCCTTTTATTAGGATCTCGGATGAGTTGAATATATACATGTACTTACATTGAATAAGTTTTGCGGATGTTTCAAAGCGAGGTTCATAATATTGTTTTGTTGTTAATTTTATGTTTAAACGATGAGAAGAATATTAGAAAGAGTTTCGTGTAAATTTGGTTTCATTGTAACACGGAAAAAGGCATTTACCCAAACTTTTTCGCGCAACGTCAAAATACTATACTGACCGAGACACCGTATATTTTTGTCATACAAAAAGGCTGTCAAACCTGTATACAACAAGAAAACAGAAGATAATTTGTCCAAACAAAGTAAAATCATCAAATGTTTCATTCCAATGATTGTGTCCTTTAATTAGAAGCTTAATTACTCTTTACTGCATGCAAACTGTTTTATTAAGTCAAGATACTGAACAAAGTTGGGGTATGTTGTGAAAAATTTGCTTTGATTGCAAAATATAACGACTTTATAGTCCGTTTGGTTCATATGACTGATCGAAATGCAATATATGCTATGTTCATTATTGTCGTTTTAACACGTTTACACTACGTAGATAACCATTATTTTGTATATTTGATATGATTTTCATCTTTTCATGTTTTCACGTGAGTACTTTAGGTACCATACAACTTGGTCAATAGTAAAATGTGGACACCGCATTATTCGTCCTCAAATCACCGTATTTTTATTCTTTTTTTTTGTATTACTGACGAGAGATATTTACATTGGTGTCTATGCATTTAAAATTCGAAAAAGAATCAAAACAAAATTCAACTTAGAGACCACTGCACTTATCTAACTTGTATTTTGGACATTCGACCCTCAAGTCTTCTATACAGTAACATTAATAAAAAAGAAAGTGAAAAGTCTTCCATTATATAAAACATGTGTGTAAGTAGATCCGTAACTCTAGAGTTATTTGTAAGGTATGGTGCAAAAGAAAACAATGCAAGATATTATCTTTCTAACAGAATAAAAGAACCGTTTTAGAATTCAGTGTTCAGCGGTGCTCAAACATTCATATCAGTAGGAATTTTTCCACCATGTATTTTCAAGAAATTACAATAGAAACACACCCTTGTGTGTGGAACTTGTGCTTTAACCATTATAAATAAATGTATACGGGCTCGTCAGGTCATACGAAAAAAAAAACATCGTCGATATAGTCCGGGTTTGTGTTACAAGTATGGGAAATGTTGCTATGTAAACACTTTTTGTTCCAAATATGTGATGTTTTGCCAATTGTTTTGTATTAGATTAAAGATAAATGGTTTTATAAAATCGATGGCATAATTGGAAAGTTGGAATAAGTTTGCAATGTCTAGCAGTAAGATATTTTATAAGCTATTTCCTACAATTCGATAAGCCCGCAAAAAGTATTTTGTGCAGAAAGATACTGTGTCTCGGGCAGAAATATGACATTTTGATGTTGCCTTGAAAAGCTGTGGTAAACGCCTTATCAACGTGTATACAATTAGGAAAAATAGAATCACGAATCATTAAATCAAATTGTATTTACAGAAAAAAAGTCAACACAAACAACAATTCTATGTAGAAGTCGCTGATACTATAACTCTGCTATTACCTATCGTATGGTAGTAGTTTTCCAGTAAAAGAATATTGTGTAGTATATATAAGGCTAAAAAGATCGATCAGTTTAAGCGTGTTTTATCAATATTTTAAAATAAATTAATCTGAAAAACTTCTCTTTCACGTACGTATAGCTTATTTTACAGAACGTAGTGCAAAACTTTAGAAAAAAAAGGAATAAATACTATATATTAGTATTCAATGTGTTCATTGTGGTTTAATTGAAATCACTTAACTTACGATGCGTTCCTATCCGTATTCATTATCCGCAGAGGATGAATTATTCGCAAAATGTAATACAGTTGGTATGCAACGGTTGATAGCACCATTATCAGGACCAATGTTGGTATTATTTTCTTTAACCTATAATTATACAAGATAAAGTTCATACAAATGTCATGGCTGTTTCATCAGAAATTAAATAACTAGTTTTGTCCTGAATTATCAATTTTATAAACACTCACCAACGGCTATAATATGTTTCCTTGATAAAAAAAAATGTAAATCATTCTCTCAAATATTTTTCATACAACGTACAACACGAGTGAACATACAACAGTTCACAAAATTGCACGAGATACGGAAAAAGTTGAATTATCTCTGGCGTTTCCATGCATTTCCACTGATAAGCGTACTTTACGGAACAATCCGATGCAAAAACAGAAGCAGACGATAATAGACGCCACGGACACAAATCAATGCATGCGCGGACATTAAGTACATTTTTATCGGGATTGATTTAAGAACAGTGAACGGCCAAATGAACACGTGACATTACTATTAAATCGGCCTGTGACATTCTCCAATTATAGGACAAGATGGTTTCTGACATTTTATTAACCTATTAAACAAATGTCTCAAAGTTTCTGTACCAATATCACCAAAACAGAACAAAAAATATTTTGAATTACAAAATCAGAATGTATTTGAAAATAAAATGTTTCTATCACATGTGAATTGATAAAACAGTAGTTTCTACTGTAAATATGTGTCTTCCAAACATAACCTGAAATAAAAATAAGAAGCTGAAAACAAATTTAAAGGCACTGGCTCTGCTGGCAACAAAAGGCGTGTAATTGTTTCAACTTGAAACTACCCAAACTATTAATGTTTAAGGTAAAAGCTTAATTTAATTATTACAAATTGTAGGCTCAATAGTGCTGAAAATAACGGTACAAACTGAAATTTAAGTTATAACCCCCAACACAGCTGAAATTTAAAGACATTCGAAATTAATACATAAATACCTCTGGTACAACTGAAATCGCAGTAGAGTTCCTGCAGGAATAAAATGTTAAACATTTCATGTAAAATGACTTCAAAATAGGGCTAAAATGAATAACACTTTAGAAATAAAATATAATTAACACTTATAAAAGTTTGCACATTTATTCACCATCTTGAGAAGTGTTGTAAACAAGAGCTGTGGTTGATGTAGGCCTTTCTCCAAATATAATCGGTGCTCTCCGGACATTTTGCGATCTCTGACTGTCAACAGAGGACTGATTTTGAGCCTGATGACTGGTATTGGTACATGGAGGCTCAGACCTAAGACCTTAAGAACATTTATCATTATTAACACCTAACATAAGATTCAGAATTATAATGACAATTATACCTAGAGAAAGGTAAATTTTCTGAACTAGGTGTAACCATCTGAAAAGAAGACCTATTAGTATTATAAACACTTGGGAAACCATCACAAATAACATGTTTGATGACCCAGCCAAGCCCAACGTTACACGCGGTTTTGATACCGGTCTCCTCCGAGGTGGGATAATATACTTCTCTGTGGTTTCATATTCATGGCTTAAATCTGACTCTTTTGAGCTGTCCGGATCCTTTCAATCAACATACTTATCTGGTGTCGGGGATACTATCCTAGATGTTTACCTGATATTTGGCGAAACTGTCTTAGGCAAGTTTATCTTGGTATCTTAGATTCCTGTGAAAGGTCTTGGTCCATTGCCAGTTTCCCTGTCCACTGTATAGACAGGTGCTGTCTGGCCTGGGAAGTATGTTAACAAGCATAGGTCCCTTTGAGACTTGTCATCCAACTTTCCAGTAGGCGTCATATTCTTGATAATGACTCTGTCTACTGCTTTAAGAGTTGAATATCGCATCTTACTGTCTTAGATCTTATTTTGGCAACCAGACTGCTTGGTTGATTTTTTTCTTGCAACTTGACGAGCAAATTCAAAGCGCTTCCCGAGTTTGGCAGCATAGTTATTTGTGCTACAGGCTTGTATGGCGGTGAGCTTGACTCCCAAAAGCGTAAATAGCAAGTCTCAGATGCCAGCCAAAAAGAAGATAATGGGGAAAAAATCAAATTGACTCATGTCTAGTAGAATATTCAGCGTGGATTAGTGGCTTCAGTTAGTCTTTCCAATTGCCTTTCCTGGCAGGGTCTAAGGTACAAAGCATGTTGAGGAGCGCGGAATTGCGGGGCAATATAGGTAGTCATGAACATTTTTTATTATGGCCCACTCCAGACCAGAACACTCCAACTTGTGTGATCGGTAGTTATTCTCACCACTGGCACGTAGACCGTTGCTGGCAAAGCTAATCACACGTTCTAAGCCATCTTGTTCTTGACATAAACACTACCAAGACCTTCTGTTGAAACATAAATTGTTTAGAAAAAAAACAGCATAACCAAATACCGGTGAATGAAAAAGGTGAATAATAGTACCACACGCCTTTTGTTGCTCATCACCCCGAACCCAGGGAGTTTTACTGTTCTTCTTGGATTTCTTAAATGCCATTTAGTTGGATGACCTTCTTAAGGATCATTAAGTGGTGTCGCAATTTTAGCATAATTTTTGAAATACCGCCTGTACTACCCTGTAAAACCAAGAAATGTATGTAAATTATTAACATTATGTGGTACTGGCCATGTAGTCAAAGGAACACTTTTATCAGGATCTGTATGGATACCTTCTGAGGAAACAACATAACTTTAATATAAAAAAAAACACTTGAACTGACCAATTCACACATTGATTTCACACATTATATTTATGATCATACTCTTTACGACGCTCGAAACAAACATCAATTCTGTTGTGATGTTCATCGAAAATCTTCGATAAAATCAAAACATCATTTAGACATTATTTTAGGTTTAAATCACCCATACAGGTGTCAAGTACGTAAAATCTTGTTTGAAAAAATTACATTAACAAGATAATTTAACATAACTATTATCTACACGAGGCAAATATAAGTATATTTGGTGGTTCTTCTGTTCAGTTGACACATATCTATACAAAATCTCAAACGATTATCTTCGTTCCTGTCCACCACATTAACCTTACTGCAATAAGAAGATTGACTTTTCCCATTGCACCACAAACTAATATAATATTTCCCGCAAATGTTGACAAACTTGTTCATGCATAGATGGTGGTTGTTTAAATTGTTTATTATCAGTGCGTTTAACCAGGTCGGTTTTCCCAATATCTGTAAAGGATTTATAAAAGACTATTTCCCCAATTGCCTAAAATCTGTTGAGCTCTAACATACTCTAACAAACTTTCCCCGGGAACTTGTATACCTTATTTCTGTAATTTTTTAAAAGAAGATATATCCTGTTAAGAAAAATAGTCCAGGAGTAATCAAAATTTACATCTGAAATGAGTATTTGGTAGATTTGGTTATTTTGCACACATGGACTGGTACACTAGCATTATTTCTTTCACCATCAAGGGAGATAACTTGTGGACAAATATTCAAACCAGGTAATTGTTTTAATATCTGTTGATAATCCTCAGTAGACCTAAATAGTAAAAAAATGATTAGGATGAATCACAATAGGAAATTCGTTGGTTGACTTATCAGAAGTTAAGTTTGTAATGCCATTGCATCTAAAGCCATTCCGTATCCATCTTAAGAAGAAATATCATGATTTAAATAATTGTTTACATAAACGCAACATATTTGTTTCAATAATACCTGGTAAACTATGGCATAAAGAAAGGTAAACTTGTTCAGGTATATTTTCAGAAATCAAACATTTTGCTTCAAATTTTTACACAGCATAAGACTCGTTACCTTAAAAAGAAGGCAACTTTGTGTCTCAAACCTCGGTACCTGGATTTGAAATGGTTGCATAGAATGGTGTTCTTGTACTAACAGGAAAGTTGAATACTCAGAATTAGTTAGCACAACATAATCACCATTTTTCTTTAATGGTCCTAAAATCTGCTAAACTTGAGCATCTGACAAAGATACATCTTAACCTAAACCTAAACCGGTGCTGCCTTTATCAGAAACACCCTCAAAAGATGTTGGAAAAAAGAAACTTTAATAATACTTGAAAAACAATAATTACACAAATATAATATGATAATTGCTGAACATGGTAAACCTGAAATTCAAATAATAAAATTCACATTTGATATGGCCACCACCATGGAATATTTTCGCTGAAATAAATATGAGCACCGTCATGCGATTTGGGGTCCTAATGACATAATGCGCAAACGTCATAAATGACGTCAAAAGTCATACCGGAAGATCATTGCGAAACTACACATGTTAATCTAGAAGTTTTGTTTACGACAATTATCGACAGGTTACACGTATTTTCTTTGCGTAAAATGGCCGAAGAGCTAGAGGTAAGTTTCTTTATTCGTGTTTTTTAACAATCTACTGTATGTTTATGTTTTAAATCTGATTTCATTTGAATCAATAATGTTTTGAAGGTCAGTCGGTATTTGAAAACGAAAGTAGAATACATTCGTGAATCTCTTTTCACACCAGGTGCCTATTTAAACGCTGGAAAAAAGTTTATCATGGTTTATAGACTAGCATGAATGTTTCGACATTTATCTTTTTTTCTAGAGCTATTTTTATTTTCATCTAGAACTAGAATCTAATAAATTAAAAGAAAAATATTTGCCGCTTTGCGAGACTAATCCTAGATGTAGTCTACATGAATATAGATTCTACTTACACATGAATATATTTACACATAACGAATAAACACTTTAAACACTTTAAACTTTGGTATATGAATCGTACATGTACATGATCGTACAACTAATTTGTTAAATAGCTGGAATTAGTGTGTAACTGTCGAACCGCGCTGTTTTTCAGTTTAAACACCGCCATTGTATAAAGAAAATATTTCTTCATTGATAAATGTAAATGCCTCTGTAGCTTTTCGTGCGGGCGGTTGAGGTTCAAAACCTGCCTCTCTCTTATTTTTTAGGCATCTTTTTAATCACATGCTGATTAAACAAATAGCAAAGAGTTTAACAGTAAAATGTTAAATTTTTAGATTTTGCATTTAATTTTTCTATTTATTAGTCATTTATGTTTGATTTTAGATTTTGCATAAAGAGGTATGATTAATTTTATTTTCAGGAACTAGAGAGCCTTTTATCAGAGCATTTTGGCAGAACACCGTTGACTGCACCCTGTAATACCCAGGAAGATGTTAGTAGCGACAGCGGTTCTGACCAAGACATCAGGGAAAATAGTATAGTGGAGAGCCGTGTGCGAGACTTCCTCTACCAGGATAGAGGTGCAAGTACTGGTGCAAATGGTTGTTCGGAAGACATTGAAAGGGATGAAGAGCTTGAATGGTCCGATGAAGATGAATTCTATGATGATTATGTTGAACCAGATTATGACCACAAGCAGGTTGAACTTCAT